ATCCAGCTCAGTGAATAGAAATGGGCAGTAAAATGTGGTCATGAGTCCTGCGGAACTCGGACCTGAGAATGACTGCGCTGGCGAGGGCCAGTAGCAATTGTAAACGACAGACCCATTCTCAGATCAGAGAGATTGTTACATAGGGACTGTAATTCATTCATTCATTTATTGTATATTCCATAAATCCATATACATAGATATAGAACCAGTCACATAATTAATATAGTACAATACAAATATAAATATATATGTACAGTTTATAATCATTAAATAGATAAAAAACATGTGTTAAATTTATATAAAAACAGTCTTACATCACTATTCATAAAAGTATGCAATATTAAAATTGTTTATGCTATTATCCCTATTTCTAGGCAAATTTGTTACTAAAGAATTCATCACCTGTATAAAAAGAAACGTGTTAAATTTACAGTCTTACATCACTATACATAAAATTATGCAATATTAAAATTGTTTATGTTTATGTAATAGCAAGTGTTCATTTGGAAAATAAAATTAGTGGTCGTGAGTCTCAAAGGGCTTGTCGCCAAGACGAACTGAATGGCGGGAAACCGCAAGTCGTAAAGTGACTCTGACTCTTAACATACATGAATGGAAGATATTTTTATATAGATGTGACTATGTTAGAAAATGGTTCCAATGTCTCTTAATAGCAAGCCGCGCGGAATTCCGAGGCCTATTTCTGTTCCTTGCTTAAGTAAGCAACCAACTTACTTACTCGTTCTTGAGAAGCCGCCAGTCGCTCAGCTGCTCAAGAAATTCCCACCATTTTATGGAACCAGAATGTTCATTACCGTGTTCAAAGGAATCCTCCGCTGGTCCCTAATCCTGGACCACATCAGTCTAGTTCCTACCACTCAATCCTATTTCTCTAAGATCCATTTTAATGTTATCTTCCCACCCATGTCTTAATTCTCCCTACTGGTATATTTCCTTCTGAAATTCCCACCAAAATCCTACATGCATTCCGTTTCGCCCGTGCATGCTACATGCCTTGCCCATCGACCTTAACTTGAACATTCTAATTTGGTGGTTACGTACGGTGCGTATTAATTTTAAATTATAGTATTGTTTCTCGGGGAAGATATATCCAGTGCTTATTGTGGTAATTCTGTTTCGTTTCAGATCTTGCTGGAACTTACCAACCTGGCGCACATCTAAGTACCTTGACGCTACCCCTAGCTCAACTTCTCCGCTGGACAATGTAAGCAGAAAAATGTTTTCTGTTATCGACATTGTTTTTTGCGCGTAATGACCTGTCTGTGGTTCTGTATGGGTTTGAAACTTTGTCTGTGACATTAAGGGAGAAATATAGAATAAGGATGTTTGAGAGCAGGGTGTTGAGGAGAATATTTGGACCGAAGAGAGTTGAAGTGACAGGAGGTTGGAGGAAACTGCATAATGAGGAGCTTCATAACTTGTACTCTTCTCCAAGTATAATTAGAATGATCAAGGGAAGGAGTATGAGGTGGGCAGGGCATGTAGTACGAATGGGAGAGAAGAGGAATGCGTATAGGATATTGGTGGGAAAGCCGGAAGAAAAGTGATCACTGGGAAGACCAAGGCATAGGTGGGTGGACAATATTAAAGTGGACCTTAGAGAGATAGGATGGGATGGTATGGAATGGATTGATCTGGCTCAGGATATGGACAAGTGGAGGG